GGTACAAACGGTTAAGCGCTCGGCTACCAACCAAAAGGTTAGAGGTTTGAGTCCACCCAGAGGCACCTTGGAAGAAAGGCCTGGCAATCCACTTCTGAAAAATCAGCCATTGAAAACCCTAGGGAGCACAGTTCTACTCTGACACACGTGGGGTCGCCAGGAGTCGGAGATGACTCGACGGCAGCTGGGTAACCTGTGCCTTAAAAAGCAATATAAGTAATGAAATCTTTCTGTTTTTGTTTTCACTTTTCTGGTTTCCTGAAGGAGGCAGTCAAGGTTTGGAATTTTTTATACCTCCTCTATCTTTCCGTAGCCTGTCTCCTGGAGAGAGGGGCCCTTCTCTCGCACCTACTCCATCTGTTTCTGCCGCAGGGGTCTCTGCTTTCTCCCGCGCCTCCGGGTCTCTCTTAACCCCCATTCTTCCTTCTAGCACCCTCCGCTGACTTGCTCTGGTGCCTCCGATCTGCCCTCGCTTGCTGACACTTACTGCCGGTTCACGACTGGGTGTTCACAGTGAGGAAGCGGGGCACAGAGGGGGCACTGCAGTTTGGCGCGGATGACCCGCCTCTGAGACCAGAGCCCGGATTCTGTGGCCTTCCCACGGGGCTGGGTTCCCCACCTGCCCCAGTGAGGAGACTCCCAAGCGGCCACCCTGACTAAATTTGGGGGGTTTCTGAATTAGACATGTAATAAGCAGTCAAGTATGAACTGGCCCCGCTTCCTACCACCCAAAAGGCGCCTGTGGCAAACATGGGGACTTGTTTGCCAAGTGTGCCCACCCTGAGGACCTCAGACGCACGCTTAGTAAGGCCTCGGCTTCTCCCACAGGATCATCCCAGAGCCGAATATGAAGCCAGAGTTCTGAAGAAGTCACTTAGGAAAGAATCCAAAAGCAAAGAGGTATGTTTCCTAGCCAGCAAAACATTCCATGTTCGTCAACAGTGTAGACCAGAGGTCAGCAGACTTTTTCTGCAAAGGGCAAGAGAGTTAACGTTTTAGGTTTTGCAGACCTCTGTCACAACTACTCGACTCTGCCCTGGTAGCGCAGAAGCGGCCATAGACGATCCCCAAACGAATGGGCCTGACGGTATTCCAATAAAACTTTAATTATAAAATCGGGCAACGGGCTGGATTTGGCCTCTGAGCTGTCGTTCGTCAAACCCTGGTACAGATTTGGAGCCTCTGGGTGGTGCAAACGGTTAACTCGCTCAGCTGCTAATCGAAAGTTGGGAGGTTCAAACCTACCCAAAGGTGCCTCAGAAGAAAGACCTGGTGATCTACTTCCAAAACATCAGCCATTTAAACCCTACAGGGCAGTTCTCCTCTGACACACATGGGGTTGCCGTGAGTCGGAGTCGACGCCACGGCGGCTGGTTGACAGATTTCTCTTCCTGCTGTATCCTGAGGGTGATTGCAAATGACAGCGAACAGCAAGAACCACACAGCTTTGAAACCTTTTCTAAGTGCACTTGACATCCATGGCGTCCACCCCTGTATTATCTGTTGAACGATGACATGGAAGGGTTTTGCCACCCCAGAGTCCTTGAGCAAATGGCCAATGCCTACCTCGCTTGCAAACAACGAGAATGGGAGAGACAAGTGTTATTTTCATGACGGTCTTAAGGCCACCATCTTTTTATAATGAATCCTTTCTTTTTCCCAAAACCTCTCATTCAAATTGGTGATCTTATCATGTGCACAAAGGACTTCCGGGGGGGGGGGGCATGAATGATTAAGGGCCAAAAATTGGTGGTTCGAACCCACCTCGAGGCGCCTCGGAAGACAGGTCTGGCAATCTGCTTCTGAAAGGCCACAGCTGTGAAAACCAGACGGAGCAGTTGTACTCATACAGTGTCGCTGTGAGTTGGTGTCAGCTCGACAAGAAACCAGTGGGGTGTGCAGCCTGAATGCTTGCGGACCTCGAGAGGCCCTTGGGCTCTTTTTCTGACGCTGGTTTCTCATGTGTCCTGGGATAAGCTCAGAGCCAGCCCTGGGCCTTTGTCAGCCTCGTGCTGAGGGTGTGGAGATTTGCATTGTTCTTGGAGAGATTCAGAACAATCAAGGAATTTCTTCTGTTTCCCCAGTTCTTGCCGTCACGTTTGTATTGTCAGCCTCTGGGACCCATCAGGCCAACCCGACTTCTGTCTTTTCATGTGATTATGTCACGTGGTCAGAGTTCACTGGTTCCAAGTGGCTGGGGATTGTGATGACTAGAATCCCATCTGGGGAGTCATGTGGGTGCTCCAGGAAGCACCCTCTCAGGCCTCAGCTCCTATAAAACAGAGAATCTGGGGTACAGCTCAGTCCTCCTGCAGAAAGGGGGCGCACTTTCCTGAGCACCTGCTTAGAGTCTGCTCGGGGCTCGAGAGTGCAAAGAAATAACTGCAAAAGCGTGAGTTGCCCCCCAAAATAAAGAGGCTGCCTTTTTAGTCTAACAAATCAGAATGTATGCACATCCGAGAGCCCGTTGTCTTCTAAGCAGTTCACCCAAGACAGTCCGCCCCTTGCTTTATGGCGTCACCTCTGAGAGTGAGCATATATGGTTGGCGGTTCAATTCCACCCAGAGGTGCCTTGAAAGAAAGGCCTATGGATCTACTTCTGAAAAACCAACAACTGAAAACCCCATGGAGCGCAGTTCTACTCTGATACTCCTGTGGTTGCCATGAGTCAGAGTTGACGCCACGGCAACGGCTTGGTGTAGATTTATCGTCTGGATTTTCCTAAAAAAAAGGCCTTTGTGGCAAACGTCTGTTTAAGACAAGGGCCTTAACTAACCTCAAACAGTGGATCTGAACAATGTGTGACAGAAGCCCCCTCCCAGACACTCGGTCCCTCCACCTCCTGGCCC